TCCTTGGCTCCTTTGGCAATGTGGCAGCCTCCCCCTCGCCCCAAATTTTTGCCCCTGGCAGAGCCGCCCAGCTAAGCGGGGAGCGGGGCGAGAGAGCGAGCGAGGGAAGGGCCGAGGGAGAGGAGCCGAGCGGCGTCCGGGCTGGAGGGTACCATGAGCGGAGGCAGGTTTGATTTTGATGATGGAGGTGCCTATTGCGGGGGCTGGGAAGGGGGCAAAGCCCACGGGCACGGCATCTGCACCGGCCCCAAGGGCCAGGGCGAGTACTCAGGCTCCTGGAACTACGGCTTCGAAGTGGTGGGCATATACACATGGCCCAGCGGCAACACCTACGAAGGCTACTGGTCGCAAGGCAAGAGGCACGGCCTAGGAATCGAGACCAAAGGACGGTGGGTTTACCGAGGCGAGTGGACCCATGGCTTTAAGGGACGGTACGGCACGAGGCAGAGCATGAGCAGCGGAGCCAAGTATGAAGGTACCTGGAATAACGGGCTGCAGGACGGTTACGGCACCGAGACGTACGCCGACGGAGGTAAGGGGGACTCTGGAGGGGTCGAGAGGGCGACCAACAACTTAGTACCTGGCCTGCGGTGGCAGGGGCTGCGCGCTGTCCCCACAGAGGGGTTACCTGGTCTCGTCCCTGCCAACACGAGGGGCTGCGCCCAGCCACTGCGGTGCCAGGTGCTTCAGTTGGAGAAACGGGTGGAACTGCCTTTTAAAAGCGTGTCTGTGCCCTGCTTTCTGCCGTCTAGCTGTCCCCTGGGAAAGCAGCACGTGCGCCGCCTGCCCGCTCCGAACGCGAGGGAGTAGCAGCGAGCGTTGCCCCTGCCATCCCTCCTTTGAGAGCTGATCTCAAGTGTCAGTATCAATAGTGAATATCAACAACCTGTGTTTCGTGTAGTCCGCGACTCCTGATCTTCCAGTGATTGATTATTCCCGTTCATCGCTGAACTAAGCCAGAAACTCCTCACTGGCTAGCGACTGCAGCAAGCCATTAACTTTCTCATTGGCCTGTGAGTTGTGAATGTTTTCACATTGGATATAAGCCACCCACAGCATCGTAGCACACTTTGTCTGTGTATTAAATACTGCTCGCATGTCGCTGAGCGGATGCCTGAACATCTGCTTTGCTGAAACATTCTGGTTGAGTTTATCAAAGCTGTTTAGGATACTTAGTCACACGCTTAGATTACTTTGAAACACTCAACCCCTGCTAGTACGCAAATGCACTGAGCAGTCAGATATTTGTTGTGCGTTCTGTAAATGCTTAGTCTAATTGCGTTTTTGCAATAGTGGCACATTTTGGATTGGGAACCTCACAAGAATCTCTGCGCAAGTAATTCTGTAGCTCTTCAATACTGTAATGTTCCAGGCTGCCATATTTAGGATAGCTAAATAAAGAGGGTGATTTGAAAGAAATACCCTTCAAAATATGTATCAGAATTGCAACTATATTTATCCAGGACATGCAATGGAGTCTGTTTATGAAGAAAAATAACAGTAATGGTATGTAGCTTCAGAATAAAAAGCATTTGATTTATAGACATTAGAAAAATGGATTAATTCGAGATACTGGCTGTCAGAGTTATGCTTTTATAGTAAGTTCTCTAGGTACTTGGCTAACTTTAAGCCTGAGAACATAGTCTTCAGGTGGGCTCATTTTGTTTGTTCCCTTTGAGGTGGTTAGTGTAGATGCGGACCAGAACTGATTCATCTCTCTAGCTCCTTAAATTTTAGCTTGTCTGCCATGTGGCCATGGATTTGTTAAACACTCAAATTTTGCATGTTGCACAGAGATATCCAAAGTTAAGGCTAAAACATACATGCACGTGCAATGCGCTTGTGCTTTGCAAAAGCTTAACGTGTTGACTTAAGACCTGTAGGTTACATGTAAGCTGTGTCTGACTGATAGCGCGCAGTGATCTGATTACTGTAAGCAACAGTTGCCTGCCAAATATCTTCTATGCAATTAACTTTAATTCTGAAGATCTCAAAGTATCATACAAATTTTCACAGCTATTTCCTCACTGATTACTAAAATGCATCTTTTCTCTCAGGGTACAGTGCTACAGAACCTGAGGTTAATGTAGTGCAGGAGAGTCCAAAGAGGCAAAACTTGCCATAAGAGTTTGAATTTGATTAGATCTTGTACTGAGCGCTTGGAACAGAAGGGGGGGAAACATGAGTCAAGATTTTATCCTATATGGTTTTATAAGATATCATTTCTGCCAGCATAACACTTCCCAGCCCTCCCTGGGTGTTGTCCGATACTCAGGAATGTGCTGTCTACGTGATCCTTGAGGCAGTCCTAGGCTGGCAGTTTAGCCCTGACCCATAAAGATGTGACCTGCCAAAGCCACTGTGGGTAGTGGTGAAGCTCAGCCACCCCAGTGCCCAACCAGACCCAGCTCATGAGGCCTGGGAAGTTCACCACAGAGAGGGCTCCAGCGGCCAAGCCTCTGCTCATTGCTTTGGGTGATCAGGTCCCAGCTGGTCTGTGTCTGAACAATTCATTCAGTACATGAACTCTGATGCGAAGGGAACATGTAGAAAGCTACGTCTGAAGCCAAGTTTACGATTGTTGGCCAACATCAAGTATAAGGGAAACAGGTGGAATTACCTCATTAACCTGCAGGACCTGCTCCTGTATTGTCTTCTCACCTGTGCATAGTAACCATCTGCAAGATCCAGATGTGGCCAGACTGTTAACTGGACCTGTTAGTATTTGAATTGGAGGTTGCCAAGACAAACATCTGGAAACCCTTTGGAAATCTGCCATCTCTCTAGTAGGGGATGTGATTCACAAGCCCTCTGGAAGCCAGCCATGCAAAAAAGAGGTCCTTGGGAAGAAGGGGCTCTTGTCAGTTCACTAGAAGCTTTAGGTCACTATTAGGTCGTAAGCAGATTTAGTGGAGATGCAGCTAATTCTAATGTTTTAAAATGTACTTAAATTGGTGTATGAGGAAGCTGGGTTGCCTGTGATTTGTGTCTTGTGGCTGGCCGAATTAGGTGTCTAAATAAAGCCCAAATCTGGAGTGAAGCTTTTCTTGTGAAATCCCATGTAGATTTTTGCTGTTTAGTAAGAAGTGAATTCACGTTACAGTTTAGCCCAGCCACTGGTAGTATTGCTCTCTTTTTCTCTCTAGCAAGTGCCTGTTTTCGTGAAAGCTGTGGGAGGTTGATATCTTAAGGAACTCTCCTTCTATGAAGCTGATTGAAATGGGAAGGGTTTCAGAGTTCCTTAGGTATGGAGAGGCAGATACAGTAACACTGTGATACATTTCCTTAGGTATCCAAGCTAAATATATACGTGTGTGTCTCTTTCTATTACCAGGAGAGGGCTTGGAGCCCTTATAGGGACAGGATATGATATCTAAAGAAGAAGGTGATTTGGGTTTTGGAAGGTTCTGCGTGAAGGAACTCACCATTTTACAACATGAGTTAGAAGTAAACATCTAATTATTTGACTTCCACCTCTAAATTTTATCTCCACTGGAAGGAAGACTTCATTTTCGTCTTTTGATTCTGAGTGCTTGATCCTGTCAAATCTTACTGCAGAAAAAAATCTCACTGCTAATGCAGAATCTTAAGGCTAACAAAGGATCCAGGCCCAAACCTATCTTTGCTATACAAATAACCTTTTATATATACATATATGTATGGCCCGGAGAACTCTCTTTCAATCAAAGCAACCTAAAACCAACTCATTATTTTTGATGCTGCAGTTTAGTTTCTTTTAGCTCCCTACGAACCAGTGTTGTAAATTAACTGCGTGCGGAAACAGTTAGACCATTGAGAGATCATGAGACCACAAGAAAGGGGAAAAGAAATGAGGAAGTGTGCTTTAAAGGGAGATACGGCATGAGGTGATGCGAAGCCATGCAGACCCTTCGGGCTCCCAGCTCTGCAGAGAGGTGACGCGCTGCTGGCGGGCCGAGGCCGGCGAAAGCGCTGCGGGAAGGGGCCCCGAGGACGGGCGAGGGAGCAGCCGGTGCGCGGGTCTGTGCTCAGAGCACCCCTTGCCAGCTCCGGCAGTGATGGCAGAAGCAGGAACGTGCTCCTAGGAGAGCCAAGACGATGCTGGTTTGTGTCTGCACGTAGGGGACCAGGCGGCGCAGATTGAGGGCTCAGGGCAGAAGCTGCCACCAGGGACGGAAGGGAAGGGGGTTTCTCCAGAGCTGGAGCAGTGAGGGCGATGGGTTTTGCTCGCTGCGTTATCCCAAGGGCAGCCGATAGACAGCACAGTCGCTGGGGTCGGTCGTGCTTTGACAGCTGACTTGGGGCAGCGCGCGCAGGCGCTGGGAGCTCCGGGCGCTTTCGCAGCCCGTCAGGTCTGGTGCACCTTCAGCCACAGGCTGGGAGCGACGGCACCTCCGCGGCACGTCTCCTCCAGAGATCGTCAGGTGCTTCACGAGAAAAGTGGAATTATCTCCATGTGACTGAGATTGACAGAATAACTTGTCAAAGGTCACATAACACATCAGAAATGGTGCAGGGCCTCAAATCCCAGTTTTCTAGTCTGGCATCAAGAGTCCTACGGCCCAGGCTGCCTCTGTAGCAAGGCCGAATTTCACCCAGGAGTTACTGCTGTCTCTCTTCTTTCTCTCCATGTTTTTCTCCCTTTCTTTTCCAACAGAAACTTTAGACAATATTACAGCAGTCCTTCCCCTGGTGACACTGACACCACCAACACGCAGCAGGCTTTCACTGGTCTGGCACGTGGCTCTGCGCACTGATTTAATGCGTCTGGCCTTTCCTACTGCCTTCTCCTGACACGTCTGTCATTACAGTATTGGGGTAACAGCAGATGATTGTAAGACAGCGAGACTCTTTGAGTTGTTTGCATTATTTACCTAGTTGTTTGTAATATTTACATTCATGGCTAATCATACGAGAGCTTAGACCCAGCCTGGGAAGGGGAGAGGTGGCGCCCGCTGTCAGCGGGCTCTCGCTGGTGGGGCTGGGTGCGCAGCGGCAGCTGGAGGCTTTGTCTGGGACGCAGCCCCCCCCTGCCGTGGATCGTGGATCGGGCGCGTTTGGGAGTGAAGTGTCGGCAGGGACAACGTTTTGATCATCACTGCAACTCGATCCTTCCCGTGCTATGAATACGCGTAGAAAGGGTCACCGCCTCCCCGCTTTGTTCAGGGGCAGACATAAGATAGACCTCGTCTGGCAGCGGGTCCGATCAGCCTGCTCTGGGTTGGGCGGCAGTCGTGAGAGACGGCGCTGGGGAGGCAGGCGGTGAGGCTCTGTCCCAGCTCCGTCCTCAACAGAGATTTGTTTTCACGTGAGAGGATCGTCCAGCGGTTTGGGCGCAGGGCTGCGTTCCTGCTGCCTGTGCCGCTCGTGAGTGACGTGGCCGCGCTGGCTTGCAGCTCTGCGTCCTGCCTTTCCCACGTCGCGTCTCGCCCGGGGCCTGTTTATCCCTGGAAAGGGCACGCGCACCATTATAAAAGAGACCGAGAGCATCGGCTGCATTTCCACGGGAGAGCGGCAGGGAGGCAAGTGCCTTTCCGCGCAGGAGCGTCTCTCCCTGGCAGAGAGGGAAAGGAGTTACTGAGCCGGGTGAAAAGACCCTGCCGCAGCCTCCGCCGGCCCCGCTCTGGGGCTTTGCTCCTTTGCCTTCCGCCTCGACAAAACTTATAGTCCAGTTGCATACAGTTTTTCATGCAAAGAAGATTATCTCATTATGCAACTCCAAAGACTAATTCAACGTCGTCTTTTCTGAGCCGTTTGCAGCTCTGGAGCCGGTTTGCCTGTGCTGGCCTGCAGCCCCGCGCGTGGAGCTGAGCGCTGGCACTGCTGTCCTCGTGGCCCACCCTTCCTTGCTGCAGGGATAAAGCAAAAAGCACGTTTCAGACAAGGGGAAGTGTATTTTTGCCATAAAAATGTGCATTGTAATGTTCTAATTTTAAAGAAAAATGGAAAAAGGGCAAAACTCCATGAGAGAATTTCTAAGCCAAAATTTCTGGCTCTTCTGCTGGGCTGGGGCAGGAGAGCGCTGGGGGAAGGGAGAGGGAGCTGGCTGCTGCCCCAGCAAAATCAAACTCCTGGGAAGAGCCACTTTGTCACCAAAATATTCACTGAAGTCAGTGCAAATCTGAAGGGGGTGGAAAAAGGAAGAAAAAAGACCTGCGCAGTCCTGGCTCCTGCTTGTATATTTTAATAGCAATGCCTTATACATATATATTTTAAATTGCCATAGCGCTTTGATGTTCACAAGGAGTTAAGGGTCAGATGCGTGCCGGTGTGCTCAGAGCGCGTCCGTGAAGCAGAGCGAGTTAGCACAGCCCTGTTTTCTCTTTGAACTCAGTGCATCGGGACCTAGGAGTCTGCCTTGCTGAAAGCTTGTGATGTAAAATCACATGCTCATAAAGCAAGGACCGCGTAGGGACACTTCATGCCGTGAGGAAGAAAAAACAAAACCCCTTTGGCTGCAGAGCCAGGCTGCAGCAGTTTCGTCCGGCTGGGAAGTCGAGCGCCCGGCCTGGGCCTTGCTGCCTGGGCTGAGCTGCCAGAGGGGGAAAGCAGGATGGCTCTTTCCACAGTGGGAAACTGAGTCAGGAAAACGCGAAACGAGCTGGCCAGGACCGCTCGTGACTCCGTGGGAGCACCAGGACCCCTGACTCCCAGCGCCGTGGGTGGTTTTCCGCTACAAAACCAGCTGCATGTCGCTGTAGCTGCACTGAGCGCGCCGGAGCTCGTGCCTGCTTGGCGTCGGGGCGGCTGCGAGGAGAAGGGTGCCGCCGAGGGGCGGCGGGACCGTGT